CACTGGGGGAGGAGCATAGCCAGTGGACCCCATCATTGGTCCAACGTGGGAGGTGGGCGGGGCTGGCCCTCCCAGGGGTGTGGCAAAGGCGGTCTGAGCTGAGGGAATGAGTGGAGCAGGGGGAGGAGGGGGCGGTCCCCCACTGCCATAGAACTCCATCATCTGAGCTGCAGACATGCTGAAAGAGAGGAAGCAAGTGGTGGGTAGGGGGCGTAGCAGAAAAAGACAAACTTCCTTCACTGAGGAGTTTCAAACAACTCAACTGGTGCCTGATCTACTTTCAGTTTTTACTCACCAAGTTAGATCTTATTTTCACAAACTGCAAAAGTATTGGTTTTAAAATTTGGTCCAGAAATGTGTTTATAAGAAAAATGCAAATATGAAAGCCCACATTATCCTCAGAAAGATGCTAATCTCCTGATTTTATATGATAATTTATGCAAAGCAGGCATTTCAAGATGTACTAATTCACTGGAGCTGTGAAAAGCCATTAAATCAGCAGCGAGCGCGGAACTCGCTGTAAACTTCAATTAAAAATCACAATAATTAGCGCGGAACTCACAGTGAAGAGGAGATCAAAGGCAAGCTTGTCCAAAATCAAAGATATGCATGCAACACACTAAAAACGCCTACAGCACTCTGGAGTAGAAGCACTTCAATGCTACCATTAGGAGGCTCGATCTCAGATGCTGTTGCTATGTTTTGGCAGTGGGCTGAACAAGCCTGGGACTGCACTTGAAGAGCTCTGTAGCCTCTCTGTGAAGCGCTCCAGTGAGCAATGCTAGGAGAACACTCTGTTAGCCACCGTGCATGGCCGCAGGGCTGGGGCGAGACTGGGCCGCGTACCTGTACTCCGCGGGTGGGGGCAGCAGGACTCCATTGAGGGTGGCGTCAGTGGGAGGAGGGGGCGGGGGGGGCTGCTGTGGCCGGCTGAGGGTGCCCTGCCTGTAGGCAGCCACCCTGTAGTCGTGCTCCACCCCCGGCGCGGGGCCCACGAGGTGCTGCTGCCCATCTGCCCCGAGGTAGGGGCCCGGCTGTGGCTGTGGCAGAGGCAGCGGCTGCGCTGGGTGGGGGTGATGGAGGTGGTGGAGGTGGGCCGAGTGGTTTGGCGTGGCCGGGTACGAATAGTCAGTCAAGTCGGACCCATGGGACCTGCCAAGAGGGTTGGGCACAGTGAGGATGGCACAGCGGTTACAGCGGCACAAGAAACGGCGTGCAATTCTGGGGCGCGCCGAAACTGCAGAAGACGCCCAGACAAAAGGGTCGCCAAAACGGACACGTTTGACTCGCACAAATTTGTTTTAAAGCCAAGGCCCCGTGCTATCTCGACAACCCGACTCAAACATATGAAATGAAACCCATTTCCTTTAATAACCAGCAGGACCAAAGTTCTTCCGTCTTTCTTCTCCAAGGTACAGACACGGGGAATAAGAAACAAACCTGCATAAACTGCACCATGCTGTCGTGCAAAAAATCGCCTATTTAAAACTAGGGTTCAAAGACCCTTTTGTACTCCTTTGAAATGAGAGGATAATAAGGACAGAGAGCACCCTGCGAATTCGCACTTCAGGAGGCTTGCTGTTCTTGATACCAACACATCGCGTCCTCAGGTCTGTGCATTTCAGTTCAGTTTAATTCCATACTTGCATCATCACAGGCATCCAGAATAAATGCAAGAAAAGGTCACATTTCAAAGCCTTTTCATCCCCAGAGCTGGATTTGCACATGTGCAAATAGATTAAGAAGGGAAAGTGGCATTAACAGGGAAAAGCAAAGCAGGCATGGGAAAAAAAGAAACCGAGTGATTATGTCATCCTAGACATATGACCTTGCAGGTCGGTCTGGATAAAGGCATAGTTCTTTTCCTTGTTGTTAATTTTTGAGTAACCTATCTAACCGATACATGTGAAAAAGATCCTGCCTAAAGAGCCACTCACAGCAAAGAGCCCATCTCGTATTCCAACCACAACACTGGTCTCAGCGCCCCATCAGTTTCGGGAATCCTGAGGCTTGTGGGTCTCTGCACAGCAGGTTAACCAAACCAATGATTAAACAGCCGATCTGGTTTCATTTACCAGTCTGACTCTCACAATCAGGGAGGACTTTTCCAACTTTTACACAAATAAATATTTCACTTTCCAATGAAGACATTAGACAGTGTGAATTTTGTGTTATGTTAATTTGCCATTTTAAAGGCTTCCTTTTATTTTTTGTCACTTCCTTTTATAAGGAGGAAATAAACTATTATAAATGCACATATCAATGTATGGGCGGCCACATAAACTTCTTTTAATACCATGCATTCTTATGTCTGACGTTGGCGTAACTTTAGTATTGCTTAACTTTTATATATTATATATATATTAACAGAGGCAAAAAATAACCAGGCTACTAATCAAACTCGCTGATCACAGAAAACACAGAAAACAGACAACAGACGAAACTGTCTGTGTATTCAGGGAGCTGTGCAGAATTTGAGATAAGGTCAAATTTGTTAGTCTCCCTCACCTCCAAACGGGAGAAAAGATCAACCACACAGGCGTTGCAGAACTGGGAAAACAAGACCGTTTTCAGCTCATTCTGTGCTTGAATGAACCGTGCTGCTGAACGAGGGTGAAGGCCCAGCAGGGGGAGCCAGAGACAGCGAGTTAAGGAGGATAAAGCAAGGGCAATGCAGGTCCAGCAGGCAGGGAGAAAGGAGTGGACCGGTCAGACACTGAGACAGTGGGGAGGATTCTGGACGCCGTGAAGAAACGCCTGCAGGGCAGCCGAGGCTGAAGAGAACTGAAGCAGGCAAAGTGCTGCCTCATCTCCCCCTGCTGTACTGAAGGAGCCAGGAGCAAGCCTGAGTGGAAGGCAGCTGGAAACCATCGCTAGGACAGCACGATGTCCCCTGAAGTGCATTTAGTTTTGCAACAGAACAGATTTGGTCACCAAGGGGGCAGGTCAAGGCCGGGCTGCCTTTTTAGTGGCTGCGGTACAGTAACTGGCTCTCCCAGCCGCGGCGGCCTGGGAGGCCCGTCTCTCGGGGGGGGGGCCCGCGTGGGGGAGACGCCCCCGGCACACAGACCTGCTGTCGGGGGACAGCGAGCCCTCGGACGAGGCGGCGTGGCCGGCGTTCTGCGAGAGCCGGTGGTCGGGCCGCAGCTCCTTGTCGAACGCCATGATCTTCCACTCCTGGCGCCGGTTCCGGGCCTTGCGCACCTTCTTCACCTCCCGGGTCGTGCCGTCCACCCGCTTCTGCTCCTGGCGGGAGGAGAGACAGGCCGGGTCAGCACTCGCACTGGTGGAGCAGGAACCCCGGTGGGGGAGGGGTCAGCGCCGTGACCGCCAGCGACGGGGCAAACGTCCCTGCACGACAAAGAGGCGCCCCCTTACCTTCTGCCTCCTCTTCTCCTTCCTCTTGTCCTCCGTGTCCTGCAGCATCTTCTCCTTCCACAGGTCGAAGAAGTACGAGGGGTCGGTGTAGAACCGGAGCCCGTCTTTCTGGTCGTCTCTGGAACGGCAGCAGAAACGGGTGAGGGAAGGAGAGGGCCACAGGGGCCCCGGCTCGCTCTCAGGACTGCTGCCGGCCCCCCCCCACCTCTTTCACACTGAGCACCATACACAGGGACAGCCAAGGAGGAAAGCAAACCAAGGCTCTGAGGCCGAGCGCTGAGGGGTCTGGTGCAGCGTCCCACAAAGCAGAGCACAAGGGGTTAATTTCAGAGAAGTCATTTCTGCACACTAGCATGCTCCTCCATGCGTTTAATTAGTTAACGATTTTTCCCTGGGATGTGCTAATGACCGGGGCGATGCTGGCTCGCTCTGTGCCTGTAGAGTAATGAAGGGCAATCCAGTTTCAATGTGTTCTGCCAAGAACAGGCGTCCCAGTTCACACCCAGACACGCACCGTGCCTCTGTTTCACCAGACCTCACCTCTTCCAACCACAGGAAAGCAGAAGTACACACCACACCACACCAGGAGGCTTGTAGCAAGGAAAATGCAAAGTTCTGCTGCCAGACAGAGCTTTATCTTACCAGGTAAGCAACCAAACTAGGTCTTTCGTCCAAGAATTCTTGCTTTTTAGAAATAAGCTAATTTCATCAAAAGATATAATAGTTCAAGATACACACACACACACACACACACACACACACACACACACACACACACACACACACACACACACACACACACACACACCACAAAGGAATGCAAAAGAAGCTGATACACCAACATCCCTGCACCAGCTGTAACTAAGACAGGAAGGAGAAACCCAAGTACAAAACGCTTGTCCTCGGGGGAGGGGTTGCCATGCCAACCTAGCGCACACCTGTAGGGCGTGAGGATGCTGAGAGGAGGGGGCTTGTCACTGAGGTTGTACATCTCCTGCACCGGATTGGGGATGCTGTTGTTAGACACCACCTGCTGGTCCTGCACTGTAGAGCTCTTGAAAGCTTTTCTCATATTGATGTCCTGCAGGGAGACTGAAACACACAAGAGTCCATTTCACCCACTGGGTCATTCCTGTATCAACATTTTTCAACAGTTGTATCCTGCTGATGGTGCCAAAACCTAAGAGGGATTCAATTAGGAAACAGGGGGATCTTATTAGATCCACTACTGATCTCCTCAAAAATGCCACGACGTGAAAAATTATATATGTTTTCAATACTAGAAAAATTAAAAATGTCATGTACAGGACAGCAGAAGATATTTATAGAGCAACAGGTTATTTGCTTATGCATGTACTTGCAATACAAATGCAACCTTTTAGGTTTTATACAAAATAAAATGTAGACCTTCACATACTGACATACAATCCAAGGGGCTGCACTAGGAGCAGCAGGTGTAAAAAGAGCTATGCGATGCGTGAGGGGTTAACGCTCACACCCACCACAGGAGCGAAGCTCAGTGAGGCGATCAGTCAGGATGAAACTGCACATCAACCAACACAGAATAAGAGCAGACACAGGCTTCTCCATCTGTAACAGTTCCACTGTTGAAAAATTTACCACTCTCCAAGGTTTATCCACAAGCCTGAAATGCATTAACACCGATACCCTGCATCCACCTGACTGAAACCTCCAGAACTCTGCTGCTGAAAAGTCCCCTTTGGCCTTTTCTGCAGGCTGTTAGAGAACTTTTAAGACTTGAGGAGAAAGACCACATTTTTCTGATTTGATTGAAGAGCAGCACAGAGAGCCCTGTGCCTTGGTGTTAAGCAGTCTGAGCCATGTGGTGTGCTCTGCGGTAAGGAAAAGGACTACGCTCTCAGGTTAAGTTGGCTTAGTCTTGGTACAAGCCCGGACTAACACCATTAAAATTCCTGTAGGTAGTGCTCACAATGTGAAGATCCTAAGATCACACCACACAGGAGCTATTTGTAGACTATATTTCACTCAAACACTGAACTATTAAAATTTGCAAATACTCCATGGCAGACCACATGTAAAGACAGGCTTTCCAGTTTATTTTGTTCGTGCCAGACCTGGCCTGCTCCAGTACAGATTCCTGTACTCCGCCACACACTCACCCTCCTCCACCGTGGAGTCCAGCTGGGTGACTTTGACAGCCAGGCGGTCAATGCGGTCCTGCAGGGAGTTGGCGCGCACGTAGAAGTTACTGGCCTCGTTGAACAGCTCCCCGAATATGTCTTCTGCATGTTTACCTGAGCAACACAAGTGAAGGACAGCACACTGAGGGAACATCTAGGCAGAAACCTTCACCAGGAGAAATCGCCCACTGCAACAAAACCAGCACCACTGGGAAAACACAAGACAGAGCGTGCTCAAACTAGTTTTTAAATAACATTTATGGAACATACTGTCACTTTTATGTAAAATAATGTATCTAACATAAGATAATGTAAACAATGAAAAACCAATACATTCTTAATCTATTTGGGGGGCAACAGACTGATTAAGCAATAGGAGGAAGAGGTCTTATTCCTCACCCATGTTATTACTCAACAGACAAGTGAAACTCATGCCTTCTTATTTTCCCAAGACACCTGTGTAATACTGATGTGTACACCCACTGTAATATCACACTCTTATTGCATCATGTTCAATTTCTTTATTTCCCGACACCCATTGACTGACTCGAATGTCACCTGCAACGGAAATACAAAATGCACAGATGAGTCAATCACCCCTGGTTTTCAGAAACAAAAGCCGGCTCCATTTCCAGTGTGTGCCTTTTCTTCCTGCCCATCCAGCACATGCACTGGGCTCTTACCGACATTGCAAACCCCAGGATGTAGAGGCACATGAATAGATCAGTGAGGTCAGAGATGCTGGTTTCAGATGTCGGGATGTTTCTCCTGCAAAATCCTTGTTGCAGTGTAATCCAGACACCAGCCGTGCTACCCCGGCTCCCAGATCCCAGACAACCCCTAGACTCCACATTCCAGTCTGCCATAATGCCCAGTTTCCAGACACCAGTAAGCTGGTGTAATACTGAAACCTGGGCTGCTAGGCCACAGGGAAAGATATTCTTAGGGAGGGTGGTGGTCAATCAATATACATTATTTAAAAATCTAAATCTAAAACTAAAAAAAATACACATTTTGAGGTTTGGGTGACCTCATGTAGGTGCTTCCATAACACATCCAGCCTGACCGCGTCCCTTCTTGAAACCTGGACAGAACTGTGAGTCACACTGTACCCATCGGGTTCTTTGCCTTTAAATCACACTAGAAAAGCCCAAAGTACAAGAAAAGCTTCTTGCTTGTAGTCATTTGTCATAGAGACGTACAGACCCATTAGTAAGTCACAGCCTCTGTCGGTTACCCATTGGTGTCAGCGTTGGGATGTGATGCCGGCAGTCATTGCCTTTGCAGAGCAGGCACGTAAACGCTGCGATCTTGTTTGTCTCAAGCAGCGAGCATGCATTTTCAATCAACCCAAAACCGTTTTTTAAAAAGATGAAAAGCAGACCACAGCAGCACGTAGAACCCGGTGAAGATCTCCAAGTTTGGACCACAGAATAGCAAGTGTGGGGTTGTTAATTCTCCGATTACATTATTACGGCATCTCGTCTGTCTTTATTAAAAAGACATCTAGGAACCCCTTCACTTTCCAACGATGTTGGCTTCGCTTTTTTCCCCCACAGCGTGTATTCATTACTGATCCAAACTGGTACAGAGTGCAGGGGATGGGGGCCACGGTCAACCCATAGAGGGTACAAAACAAAGCGATCCAAAGGGCAGCAGAGCTGGATCTTATTTTAGAAACGTTGCTGATGTCAGCCCATAATAGTCGGCATGTGCTTACATCAGGATTCCATTCAGCCTTTGGTTAGGAAGCTCAGACGCTGCCGTTACAGTACACGGTCTAGTCCAACAGAGGAATGGGCTGTGCACACCCTTCCTGGCCTTGAGACTTCCTCAGCAAATAATCCACTCCCCCCTCCCCCCACAGGTCTCGCAGCGTGGAGCAGCAGCCAGACCGCGGATAACGTCACGCCGAGAGGACTCATCGGGGATAGAAGTAAGGACCTCGCTGAAAAGCACTTTGATGCACTTCATGAACTGCAGGCCCCGAGACAACTTTCTGCTTCACCAGTAACAAAGCAGCCCTAAATATTATGAAGTGCACTTAAAGTTATTCAAAATAGGATGAGGAACATCAAGTAACCAGCACACTGAAGCCGATTCACTGGAATTGTAATAGAATTACCTGTGAGTTTTTAAAGAAATGTCTTGGCAAGGGTCTTGGATAATTACACTAGCAGCAAATCTCTTTGTATATGTTACCACATTCTACAGTCTGGTCTCTAGTTAGGGGCACCAGGCAGCAGTCTCAAGGGTGTGTTACTGGCAGCCTTTTTAGTGACAGTGCAATATACTGAGCAGCTGCAGGTGACTAGGAGAGCTTCCACCTTCTTCTAGCACTGGGGAGTGCTGACAGATGGAAACGCCACTGCACTCGCTCCATAATTGGACAGAAAACATAGTTAGTGACCAACATGAACACTAACGCAATCCAACGCACAACAGTTTAATCCATCAACAAGCAAAAGGCTGTTGTGCAAAACAGTAAGGTTATAGCCAAAAAAATTAAATTGTCTTTTTTTTTTAACATCCCATCTGTTTAGATGGAAATTAACTCTGATTAATACAAGCTTGAAACATCTAACAGCTGATCCTGGTTTAAAGAGCCTACAATCCACAGAACCTGAAACGGATCTGAAATGCAATTGGAGTCTGTCTCCCTGTGGTATTGACGGAGGCTGAGCCCTCATATCACCATGTCGCCCGACAGGACCAGAGCTCAGAAGCTAAGCAAGGCTGGGCTCGCAGAGGTAAACCTGGGTTTTTCATTAAGTGTTGCTCATGGACTGTAGGTAGTGCTCTTTCCTCTGGACCACAGTTTTCAAACCAATGCACTATTATAGTGAGGGACAATAATGTAGGAGGTGCCATCTGTTGGAAGAGAAAGCGTTAAACCGGGGCTCTTACTACCTGGCCACTGAAGATCCAATGAATTCCCTACATAAATTCCACTTGGGTCTTGCACTTTGGTCTAGCTTAAGTCCACTTTTGGCTTTCCTCAAGTCACCCCATTTATGTTCAAATGGAGAAATATTTTTTTCACGTCCTCAGCTACTCTGCGGTAGTGTACAACAGCATCACCCTGAAGGTGAATGAAGTGTGTCCTCTTGTACGTGAAGAGTTTGGGATCCTTTGTGATGAACAACATCACAAACAAGTTACACCTCCTACAACGCCACACCACAGCCCCATGTGTAAACTACACTGGAGTGATCAATTCCCAGGAACCTTGAGAGACAAAGCAGACTCACGGAAAATGATGCACTGCTTCATCTGTATCAGCTTTGCACATAAAAAAGCCTGGCATTGGATTAAGTTAGGTAGCTTAATGCAAGGAAAAAAAAAACAGGACTATCATATCAGTGGGACTGATCTAATACAGGAGTACCCTTCCTTTCCCTTAGCGTTAATCCTTCACGTGAACTGCCTGCACGGCGTCAGCAGAATTCAGATGCACGTTTCTGGAGTTGCTATGTAAGCCATCAGGACGGGAGGAGAGTTCTTCCCTGCAGACATATTCCAGGGGTCACGTTATGGCCCTGAAGAGACTGCCGCTATCACCCAGGGTTACAGAAAGCTGCCGAGGCTCATGGGCCTGAAGATCGTCTCCGACAATGACTTAAAAACACAACTCCCCCACCCCCACCCCCCTCCCCTCCACCATGTCATCCAGCTATTTATTTTTAACCTCTCTCAACCCCACTGGAGCTGAAAGGCTGGAGCCCCGGGGGAGGAAGAGAGGGATTCAGACAACAATTGAGCCGGTGCTCAAGGAAGAGCAATTAGACATGCTCCGACATCTGCTCCCAGCCCCGTGGAGCGACAGGGAGAACAATGCAGCCTCCCTCCGGGTGATCCCGGGAGACAGACCAATCGGGAGGCAGGGAGCGCAGCGCCACTGTGTGGGGGTCAGTCGCGGCGCGGCGCGTCACCGGCCTGCAGCTCCAGCTCAGCGTTCAGTCAAACCCCATCCAGGTGACATTCAAAGCCGGAAAGCCATTAATGAACGATCAAAAGGGGACTGGTCCAGGAAGAGAGAATGACATTGACATTTCCTCAAATCCAGTTTTACATCAACCAGTTTGAAGTTTCTTTCAAAGCCCAATTCATTTAATAACTGAGCACACAATTTGTACTTCGGCAAAAGACCAAGCAGCTCTCTGGTACAATCTTTTCCCCCATGTACAGCGTCTTCCGAGTGTTTTTTGGGTGGCATAAACAATATTTTCTACTCTCTTGTTTTTCCACAAAACCAAACAGGCCTTCTGTCTTTGTGTTTATGTTTGTATTCTGTATTTTGTCATATAGGATCTACACCAGGCCCTTCTCAAACGTAGTAATCTGATCCAACAGGACAATGAAAGCCATTTCCACTCCTTGTCAGGCGCAAAGTGTAAAAACACAGATGTTTTTTTTTTCCCCCCACAGGTGTTTAAGAACAGAGTCAAGATAAAAGGTCAAGCTCCTTCTGGTTTTTCTCAGATTTTCAGGTCCACATGCACAACAGTGAGCGAAGAGCCACTCCAGAGCACAGCCCGAGTGGAACAGCATCAGGAAAGTATCTAAATCTCTACCACTCTCCCCCGGTCCTTATTATTATAATCCTGACCTCCCCAAGCCTCTGAGCTTCCTCAGCAGGATGCACACTCGAGCCACAGTGCTGACCACACTGATTTACAGCAAAGCCAATTTAGAAATGGTTTCACATCTTCCCTCTTCGGAGGGCAGCCCTGCTCTGCTGGGGCCAGGACAGGCCTGTCCACTCTCCAGGGGCCCACACTTGTGTGTGCACCCTTTAGCTCCGACATGCTGACCAAGCCTGACAACGCAGGACACTTAGCAGCCTAGGCAGACACTACGACTTTGTTTTAAGCCACATCCTTTCCTCCTGCTATTTCTGTTCCTCTTCACTTTACACAGGGGCCGTCAGAGGCTTAAGATGAGATGTTTTATAGGAAGATCCAGTCTGGGAAAGTTAGATCTTCCTTTCGCTCGGGAGCTTGCGAGTATTTTCAGCTTCACCAGTGGTTTCCTTCCCTACCCTACAGCCCTGCTGAAAAGCTTGTCCCATGATTTTGACTTGGGTACCCTAATAGGACAGGCAAGGCCTGAAGCTCAGAACGCTGTGAAGTGCAGAGTGTGCATCCATACAGCCTTAACCTTTCAAACTTCCCAAGAGCTGGAGTACAATCAGTTTTAATGCATGGTGTCACTTGATTTTCTAGCATAACTGCACTTATTTAGTTTTTGCAGCTGTTTGGGTATGGGAATGCCAAAATATTTTATTATCCTGTCTCCATCATAATAGGAATGTGTTTTAAATCTCATGCAACGTAGGTGTTTTCGGATAACCTCTGCTTCTGGTCTGCCCTTGCACAGCCCGTTTCCTGGGATGTTGCTTCATTCTGCTATGATCCCTAAGGTCAGGAAATACTTCATGAAGATAGCTTGCAGAAAGGGGACTCATCCTTTCAAGCCCAGCTCTCCAATACACCCGGGCTATAAAAATACAGTCCCCGCTTTCTGCTGGTAATTCGGGTCTCGCGTGAATAGTACAAGAACCAAGTATTTCACGATAAAACATCCTTTTCCACATGACACAACAAAGCACTTTAAAGTGACAAATGCACACTGCCCCCTCAAATCCCCTCATTATAAAAAGTGCAAAAGACGCATGGACATCATACTATCGACAGGAGGTACGCCTGCCTTCACTCTACAGCCAAATAACTGATCAGATTAGATGGAATTCTTAAAAACAGTGGGAGCAGGGGGCCTTGCACGAGGGGAAAGGCAGCGGACACCCTCTGGTGCAAAATCCATCCCTGCAGCGCAGTTTCTCGTCCGCGTGTCTAATCCCCCGGCCACACAGACGGCTGGCCGCCACGGCGACAGCGGTCACATGACGCTCAGGGCAGGGGGCGGGGCGCACCGCTCCCCCGCCATGACGAAAAACGCAGGCCGCGCTGTCCTGTCACCCCGGCCCCAGGGGGGCAACTCTTCCCAGGAGCCCTTAGAGAGGAGGGGGCTAGAACAACCCATCCAAACCAAGTCCCCAACACATATCAATAACGACAAACTAGCCATTTTAAACACTCAGCGTGAGGAACGTTCAGAACTGATGCTCATGAACGATTATGTTCTAACCTTCTCTAGAGGCCATACTGAGCTTGGATTTGAAAAGGCACAACAGCAGCAGATTCATGCCGACATCACAGAAGCGGGGTTTACTGCCGGGCGACTGGTACTCCTGACCAGGGGCAACAAGAGTTTCTCTCCAGTTCATTCCTGCGCTGCAGACGTACTGTGCGTCCTGCAGCCACGCGTGTTGTTCGCCCAGGATCCACTGAAGCAACACTTGGCGTCCGCGCAAAGCACAGATGTTGTTTTTTTTCCCCACAGGTGTTTAAGAACAGAGCCAAGATAAGAGGTCAAGCTCCTTCTGTTTTTTCTCAGATTTTCAGGTCCACATGCACAACAGTGAGTGAAGAGCCACTGTTTGAAAGGGCCCAGGTCAAAACAGCGAGGTCGACTCGTTCAACAGCCCCACCCCCCTCCTGTCAGCCAAGTTATTGATCAGTCAGAGAGCAGCCGGGCCGCACAGAGCCCTGCGCGCTGCAGCCATTGTCCGAGAGAAACCCCACACTCAAGGACAGACAGCGGTGTCCTTTCATCTGAGGCTCATTCGGCACCCCTGGGCAGCTGCAGTGCCGAGGCCTACGAAAGAGCCAGCTGTCAGCTGGACGCCAACCAGAATACAACCGGACTTTCTACCCCACTTCAGAGGAACTCATTTCAAGATCACAAGGAAAGCTCCTGTGATCTAAACAAAGGTCCCCAGATGTGCAGGGTAAAGACGCCCGCCTCCCCGGCTGAGATCCGCTGCATGCAGGAAGAAGGCTCTGAACAACGATGAGACGGCAATGCACTGCAACAAACACAAGTCCCCATTTCCCACCACCCCTGCAGTCTCCGCAGACCGCCTTAACCGCCATCTAGTGAACCTATTCCACAGGCTAGTCGCGCACGACGAGCGGAACCCGAACGGGACTAGCGCTGAGCCTTCCAGAAAAACCAACGGGAGCAGAGAGCCGCACTTGAACGCCTGCCTATCACGGCCGTGCAGCGCAGGACGCAAACTGGAAAAAGACCCAAACAAACGCACGTGCTTTCTCATAAAGGTGAATCGCACCGCAACTTCGCACCGATGAAAACTGTAAAACTGTGCTAAAAATGAAGGAAACGATGCGCCTCTTTGGAATTGCCAAGCTTCGTCACAGTACACGGGGAAGACCCTACCCCACACCCCCGGGTGCCAGCGCCCTGGCGCTGGGGGACGACAGGAACTCACTCAAGCTGCTGAGCTGCCGGATGATGGCAGAGAGCGTGTTGTTGGTGACACACTCCAGCTCGCTGCTGATACCCTCTGGCAGCGCCCCCCGACACAGGTGCCGGGGCTCGATGTTCCTCTTCACCAGCGGCATGTCCGTGCCCTCCCACGCCTCCTCGCTGCCTGCGGGAACAGAACAACAAGGGGTGGGGGTTATACGGGGGGGCGAGGACAAGGCCGAAAGAGGCTCACTGCTCCAGCCCGCGGAGCGTTAACCCGGAACCCAAAGGCACAGCCAGGGTACCCCACTCAGAGAGCTCCCTACCGCCCTGCTCCAAGCACAGGGGCTCCAGGGCGCAGGCCGTGCCAGACGCCACCCCCCTCAACGGCCAGCTCCCAGAATAAGGGAGACCGGCCTTCCCGCGAGACGAATCTGCATCACACAATCAAAGGCCTGCAATTCTGCAGTCATCCGGAAAATCACAGCCGTTAACGAGGAGCCGTTAATGAGCAGGAAACATCACCTCTGCAACAACCCGGGCATGTGGGAGAAGAGCTGAGAGGAGGGCCCTAAGTGATAAAACCCTCGGGCGACGGCAACGCACAGCCGACAGAAGAGGATCTCGCTCTCCTTTCAGGGGCTGCCAAGGATGTTCTTGGTAATCCAAACCTCGCTTTTCCCACATCGATCAACTCATGAGGGAACTGCACTGCCCAGGGGACAGAATGGTTAATATCCTACCAGCAGCCATAAAAGATTAATAGAAAGAAACTGGATTCATTAAGCCTGCTTAGCATATAACCCATAAAGTGTTTGGAATCAAACTGTGCAGCAATCTGTTGTGTCAAGTGACTGGGATACTACCTGACCTATTAAAATAGCTTGACAGCCAGAGGTTCTCCATTCTGGGGTGGGGCACAGTAACTCCTTGACTCTTTCCCAGAGACAGCAATGCCATCTGGAGGAAGCAGATTACCGCTGCACAATGCTCTGAATCAGTGCTTCAAGTCAGCCCTGTGAGAGCAGCACACTAGGGCAGAAAACACAGGGAGAAGGGATAGTCTGTGATCTTAAGCAGAGGGACAGGTACAATTAATCCGCATGCAAAATCACTTTAACACCGTAATCCCAGGTGGCACACTTAATCTTTCTGCTGACGTTTATAAATCTGAATCCCCAGGAAGGCGTGAGTGTGCTCATACTGCATAACTGGTGCTGCTCACCGTGGGAGACTCCTCTACTGAAGCTGAACATGACACCACTCAGACGTACTGCTGTGCTCCAGCAGCTTGCCACAGTATTTATAATCTAAAGGTCCAAAGCGACTTCAATCAAACAGAAACACTAGGAGTTAGTTCAGATGGGGAAAAAGGGGTTTTCCTCTTGGGTAAAAGGGCTGGATAAACAAGGAGAGTTGAAAATCTCCTTCAGGGTGACCTGTTGAAGCGAGCAGAGACAGCCTGCCCACACCCAGCAGCCACAGGATTAAGGTATTAACAAAAGAAGATGCTGACCTGCTAATCCTGCCCTTATTGCTGCTATTGGTGGCCGAACAAACAGCGCAGACACACACACGCTACTGGACAGCGAGCGGCCTCTCTCCCACACGGCTCAATAAAAAAAATTAAAGCAATGAAACCCATGACCAAGCCAGCAGGGCCACCCAGCTACACGACATAAGGAACTGGCTTCCCCTCCTCTTCCCGTAAAACTCTTTAAACAGCACGACAGGCAGAAGGTGCAGCTGTAGTAATATCAGACTTCAGTGGTGATCCAGCAGTAAATTACGATGCCCGTGTATTTATAACTTGACCGTGCCACCTGCCTTCAGCTGACAGTTCAGTGAATCAGAGATTCTTGGATCCCTCTGGAAGATACCGGCTGTTGCCATGGAGATTACTTAACATCCCTCATCGCAAGACCTCTAGCTTGGCCAGAGGGACGTGACCCCTCCAGCCACGGTTTCGCAGAGGTTTCTGTTCCTAGTTATCTTTACTTTCCCAAGCGGAAGAGGATCAGGTCAGCATCGCAACCCAAGTTCATAGTGGGGCTTTCACCCACGAGGGCAGTCCGTCCACCTCAGTGGGCAGCTTGTCCGGGCTGCGGCGACGTCGGAAGGCCCACAGGCGGTGCCCGTGCCCACCACCGCGGCACGGCGCACTCCAGACACAGGCAGGGCCGGGCGCGGAAGGCCAGCAGTCTCCCGCGCCAGAAGGGCCCCCTTCCTCCAGGGACACGCGGGAATCTCGCAGCTGGGCCAGTGACCTGGATTTCAGATGGGATTACACTCCGCCGAGCGCAGCCACCACCTCCTCCCTCCTCTCTCCTCCCTGTGACCCCCGACCCCCAGCTCCACTCGCTCACACACCACATGCTTGTACACCAACCACGCGGCTCCGGAGGCGATGTGGTCTTGACCACATCACAGCCTTGCACACTGCGCCCCCACATAAGCTCTGGCAATAGGATAAGTGGACCAAGAAACAGAGCGACAGGGTTTATTGTAGGAAAACCAAAGAACGTCCATGTGGAAATTCTTAACCACAGGCACAAAAACGCATTATGCGAAGACATAGCAGAAAGCACAGTTGCAAAAGAATGAATTTAAGAATGGCTTAAAACCAGGATTAGGCAGAAGGCTTGCAACAGCAGCAGAAAAACAAAGATCTAACAAGCAGCGATGATATTTGACATCCTTCTGGAGAAAAGCGTGGGGATGTCTGAAACACTGCATGACGCCTCGTGACACCTCTTGATGATGCTCTGTAATTGTATATGGCTGCTTTAGTTTCAGCTAAACAGCACCCGAAAAACAAAATGGTCGCGGCAGATTCTGCGGGGGCTCTCCACAAGAAGGAAGGGAGAGAGCCGGCTGAGCGAGCCAAGACCGAGCCAGTCCCTGATACCGTATCTGAGGGAGTTCCAGGAAAGTCCCTGCTGTTTCCAAGCCAGCCTTATCCAGAGAGTGCAGCCCTGCTCTGGGAGGAATGGCCAAGCGCCCGCTCTGAAAGAGGAGAAGTGTGCTGGGAACTCCTGGGTGCTGCGGGCCTCGTGATAATGACGATGGAGACCACGGCCGGCTCCCACAACTCCCAGAGGCAGGGGAATGCCTACCATTCCTGTGGAGCGCCAACACCTGCTGGCCTCAAGAGCTGCAGCCGGAGGGGTTTCGCAATGGCTACGCTCACTGTTTGATTCAGCAATTAAACAGAGATGTATTTCAATGCTAAGCCAGGGGGAGCCCTATAGTGAGTTTAAAATGATGGGTGTACAGAATCACACAAAAGCTCAGGGGGCTGTTTGATACCTTTGGTCCACGCCAACGGTCGTCCCAAAACGATGGCACCAGCCACAGCATGCCAAGAAGCAAATAAAAGCACCCACACACGGTACACTGTGCTCCCAGAGGCCTGGCCTGTTCAGGAGCTGCCCTGGGGCTGTGCGGAAGTCTCCATGCCCAGAAGATCTCAACTCACCTGCTAGATCAGTACGCATCATAGCAACGTCAAAACAAATTATGGCAGCAAAGGAACAAGTAAAGGTTTAAATGGTGAAAAGAGAAGAAACGAAAAACGTTTTGGCTGTGGAGCCGTCTTCGGGTATCAAGAAGGTTTTCAGCAGGGAATAAACCTTTACTTGCGCCTTTGCAGCCTACGCATGCTGACGCGGCTACCAACTTGAACTACTACAACTCATGGCATCTGTGTTATCGGGAGGGATCTGGATGATCCCAAGATTCACAAGTGAAAGCTCCTGTCGGGAAAACGATAGGTCAGAGAGGGAGTGACTCTACCCCCCTATGGACAGCCCCCACTGCATCCATGCCCCAGTATGAACCTCCTGCCAAAACGTTCTCCTGATTCACACAGACTGAAGAGCACATGTTCCTGCCGAGTGAGGGAGAGGTGGCTGAGCTCCTGTCACTGCCAGCTCAGAAAAAGCATCTAGTTGAACTCATCTGCTTACATGACCATTATCCAACTTACATTACTCTGCAGCCGAGGGAAGCCTTAGGACCAGCTAACTACCTTCCGAGAGCAACTACAACAAAAAAAAAAAGAGTTTCTTTCCTTGCTATTTTAATCAAGATTGAATTATTCTTTTTTATTCATTACGTGGAAGCAAAACTAGCAGTGTGTCATTTTCATCTTTAAACACTATGAAGTATCATTACACGCTTTTAATACTTTTCCCAGCTCTAACCAAACAATATTGGCTTCAAAGCTGAGTCTGTATGCGTTGGGCTCTCTCCCACAGCTCAAGAAGAACACACCTGGGCTTGCATGGCATGTTCCACAGCTTCATGACGCTAAGGCAGCAGGCCAAGGAAGAAATCAGGATTATTTGAAGGCCTGTATTAGTCTGCGAAGTTATTTTCAACTTTAATTCTCTCTTCTAAAAAAACTCAACCACCATGAGAGGAATGCTGTGAGGGTTAATGAAAACACACCATATTGCGCCTCACAAGCTCATTAAAAAAAGACAACCCCATCTGGCCCAGCATCTCTGTACAATAGTCTGCACTTCTGCACCGATGGCAAGGCCATGGGCCAGAGCACAGTGTAATATATCGGCTCAGAGCTGCTCTCAAAACAGCATTGGACATAAGAAGAGGTGGCAGAAACCTGGAAAAAAATCTCTAAAGAGCTGAAACACAGGCTAACCCATCTCCTATCACTGGCCATCGCTCCTCATACTGAGGGAAAAATGCAGGCAATAAGCGAGAGGAGAGGGGATGGTAGCTGCCATCCAATCTTTTCCTGATAGAGCCCAGAGTCTGAGCCTCGGCAACCTGACTGCACAGCCTGCTGCCGACACCCACAGCACTGTCCACAGACATTTCCTCTTGTCTGTCCTAAACCGGCTGTCCGGCTAAGGGCTTGGTTCACTAGCAAGGGGGGACATAGTACCCTGAGGTGACCCTGTCTATATACTTTAGGAGAGGTGCTCTGAGCAGTGTCTCTAATGATCAACTGAAACTCATTCACACATCTTCTGACATTGGGCTGATTTGCAGAGCACAGGCAGGGAGAATCAGTTAAAAATCTTTTAAAAGACTAGCCCTGTAAAACGTAAAACACAAGTTTACTTCCTACAGCAGCAGGAAAACAATCACCCACTGCACAGCAATTTCATTCCAGTATCTATGAGCTGCAGACTATCACAGATCAGCACAACATGT